CGCAGATGGGAATACATTGCAATCAGTTGAACGCTATTTGCGTCCCTTTATGACGCTGAAGGAGCCTAGGAGCGTCACAACTGGACGCCACGGACACTGACCAAACGTCGTTATTGGACGCTTAGGGAGTGAGAGTGTGTTGGCCTGGACGCTGCAATCATGTTGCGCACTATCCGTGCTGAGTGTGCTGACTTTTCGTACAATGTCCCACTGTCTGGCTTCCTGCATAAAGTCAAGTGCTCGGCGCAGTTGTGGCGAAATGTCGCTCCTCTGTTTTCATTTAAACAGCTCCATATCCGTTAGCGCAGCTAGCTAGCACCAGATGCTAACAACAACAATGCACGTAAGGTCTCTCTCTCGCTCGCTCGGGCCACACATACACACACCCTCCCGGTCCTCCCAATAGCCAGTCGGTGCCTGCCGGTGAGCGTGGAAGTGTGGTCTGCCACAAGCGGGCGGCAGGAGCGGGGCTGTCAGCATCAGCTTGTAGATGGTATTTTAAACTCGATGCGCTCTGAAACTACGGGGCGGCCGAGGACAAAAAATACACATGCGTTAATCACATAATTAGTGGCGTTAATTTTTGTTTGCGTTAACGCGTTATTAACGCGTTAACTTGACAGCCCTAGTTATTTCATAATTTTCACATCTGAATCTTAGGGGATGCTGATGTTAGAATGTTCAAAATGATATGTTGTGATCTTTAGGCTTAAGGCTGTTCTCACCCTGCTAAATTCAAACTATCGACAGAAGTCATTTTGGACCCCATAATATTGCATGGCATCAAACAAGGAAGGTCAAATATATTCCAGAATATATGGCCTTCATTCTATACAATATATTGGTTATCTATCATATGGTGTCGGATTTAAAGTGGCAGTAAAAAAATGTAAGCATGTTCAATGTCGATAAATTAGCATTAAGCAACCTTGAACTATAGATTTTTGCTGACATCAACATACAGGTACATTGCTTAAGTTATTCTAATGCAAGTCAGAGAAAAATACGTGACTACCTGTTTTATGTATGACCACATGTCTGATATTACCTGGGTGTTACAGTTTCTCGATTGCTAACACACTAAAATTATACATAAAGCACAATTATTTTAACTGACACTCAAAGAGCAAAACATCGGCTCAAATCTCCAAAACTCTAAACACGTTTTCAGCTTTTCACACAATTTGCAAATCAACATGGCACTTTTTGCAAACCACTGCACACGTTTCTCCACGTAAGACACAAGAATCTGACATAAAGTCACGTGTTAGCAGGTTTCAAACACTGACATTCAAAAGGCCTCACACATGGACCAATGATCAAGAAACACGTTCCACCTGACCAAACACCTGATAGCATAATTGTTGGCTCATCAATCAGGATGTTAGCACTATAAAAATAACACAGGTGAGTACTTTCTTACAGCAACAATGGAAGCCAACATGGAAGCAAGAGAAAGAGGAAGAGGAAGAGCTGGGGTGAGAGTGAGAGGAGGAAGAATGAGAGGTAGAGGTAGAGCTGGAGGGAGAGGACGTGGACAAAGAAGAATACTCTCTATGAAATGAAATGTTATCAACCATGGTTTGACGATGAGAGAGGCTGGACAGAGGGTTCAGCCTAATCTAAGCCGATGTACTGTTGCCTCTGTAATCCGGACACTTAGACTTGACAACAGGTTAGTTACCAGTTTTTAGCTCTGCATAATTCATGATATATCAGTGCTTATATCTGTTGTGTGAAACGTATTGACTTCATTACTGTAATTGAATTGTTGGCATGTTGCATACTATAACTGTACAACAATCCTGCACAATGTACTGTGGTAAACTCACTTTTATGCAACACAGACACTGACCAACCACTATATCTTTGTTGTTTATCTGAAGGACTGAGAAAAAAAGAGGTGCAGGTGGAAGGCTAAGGATTTTCAATGAGGCAGGAAGCAGCAGTTACAAACTGGGTTTTGGCAAACAATGCATCACACTTAGAGAGATCCGAAGCATATAGTAACTATGTGCTGAGATGCATGTTGCACAATGTTGTTTTTGAATAAAATGTGATTTTTTCATCAACTAATTTGTATTTATTCCCTTACTGTATTTCTGTAAACTCAGCAATCTTTCTCTGCAGAACCCTCTATGTACAGAGCACAGCCCATAACAGAGGAGAGTGCTTTAGATTATGCTCAGCAGTGTGTAGCTGGTGGTCAAACAATCCAGTATTATGAATGAAGTGTGTTATATTTGGTGCAAAAGTTTGCATTTGTTAAGTGTTTATGTAGTTTTGAGTGCAGTTCTTCATTTAGCAGGAGAAATGAGGTGTTTTGCACTTTGGGTGTGTGGTTTTGTGAATTGTGTTTAGTGTTCTGAGAAACTGAGCAATTAAAAAAAAAAAAGTGTGTTAGCAATCGTGAAAAACTGTAAACCAGCTAACACGTGACTTTATGTCAGATTCCTGTGTCTTACGTGGATAAACGTGTGCAGTGGTTTGCAAAAATTGCCATGTTGATTTGCAAATTGTGTGAAAAGCTGAAAACGTGTTTAGAGTTTTGGAGATTTGAGCCGATGTTTTGCTCTTTGAGTGTCAGTTAAAATAATTGTGCTTTATATATAATCGAGAATTTTTTTAATGTGGTTACGTTCAAATCCGATTTTTCTTTCAAGATTATTAACCATTTAATATTCAGATCATTTCCTTCTGAAATCCAAAAAAGGAAATTCAACCTTGAATCTGTCGGCACGTTGATTATGAATGGATGAGCTACATCATTGAGTAGATTCACATCCTGTTTTTTGTCTTCGCTGTTTACATATCAATAGTCTCCCAAGGAAACACGATGAATGTGTCCTTTCATCCTTTAACGACGTCTTCTGCTTAAATTTGGATGAGTCATACCAATCTAATTGTTGACAATGGCTAAGAGAAGTGAGGATATAAAATCAAATAATAACATTTCAACATCGTCCACAGCATTTTGGAAACACGTTTACGACCAAACTAGAATGAGAAATACAATTTGTCAAAAACTTGAAAGTGGATCTGATACAGAAGAGAGAGCAGCAGCGTGAAACAGAGAGCATTACACCAGAGATGTTTATGATTAAGACTAATTGTGTTTAACCTTCTATATTTTATACAAAGTTATTTCCTCATGCTGTGAGAACCAACAAAGCTGACTGAATCTTTGATGGGAGTAGGTAAAGAAGAGCTTATGAATAACGTGAGTCATCCTGTTTTTTCTAACCTAATTTAAATAATACTTTGATGAAAAATGTTTGGTGATGAAATAAAACTAAATAAAATGCAATAAAAAACATTTTTGGCTAAGTTTAGGTAACAAAACTACTTATAGTATAGGTTTTGTTAACGATCACAGTTTAGCCTAACCGTAGTACATTTGTTACATTATTTAAGTTATGGATCTACATTTTAAAAACACTGGCGTGAAAGAACCATATGTTTCCCCTTGAAACGTAATGGACAAGGCAGTTTTGTTGTATGGGAACATTATGTGTAGAGGACCAGGCGGACACTTTCAACCCAGAGTCGACTGTATCTCATTTAGCCTGATCCAAATACATCAGATCTTGATTAATATTATTATTATATTATATTGCCTTACACAAGTGATCCTGATTAATATATATGTTTTTTCCCTGAGAAAAAGCCAACAAATGCAGACCTAGAATAAAAACAGCTCTTAAAGGTCTAAAAATAGACAGCAAAGGTCATTTTAAACTAGGCTAAAGAGAATAATAATGTCAGAGAAAAGAGAGTCAGCTGTCTAAACTGTTGGATTAAAGGATGCCGTGTTCAGCTTCTGTTGAAGAGAGTTTTATAAGACGGCTTCATAATTCTTGACATTGATTGTGGGACCACTCTGCTGTCATTGCTTTGAGGTCCACAGCGGGTAGAGGAGGCTATAAATACATCGAACACCTGCACCCTTTTAACTCCCATTGCTCCAAGAGCCCGTTTGAGCCCGTTTCTTTCAGGATTTCTAATCAAGTGTTGGAAAATCCAACCATTAGCTGCACCTGTGTAATCTCATAGAGGTTTGCGGGAGGGGGGGGAGAACGGAGAAGTCAATCACAGGGTTGATTCAAAGAGGTTAAGGTACATCCCAGAGAAAAACGAAATGATCAGCCTTTGGCACTCCTGCTCTGCAAATTAAAACACATCCTTTGAGCTATTTCAAACATCCTGAATACCCATTGTTTTTTTATCAAGCTGACTTGTATGTCTTCATTTTGATATTCTTTAGCCCTATTGATATGGTAAATATAGCAACAGCATATACAACTCAAAGCAACGTGGAAGATAGGAAAGTCCTTTATTAAAAATTAAAGCTTTCTGCGGGATAAAAAGATTCATTTAAAAATAAAAGTTTCTTTGGAGGAGATACATCATTTGGACGACTTGTGTTATTCTACAATGGCTGATACCACTTTGACATTTTCTGAATTCAACAGCTTGTTTTATAAATTAACTACATAAACTCTTTGCCATTTAAAGCTTTGTACCAATAAGTGTTTGTCATGCCGTCTGCCAGCAACAATTGCCTAATCTTAAAGGTCCCCTATTATAATGTTTTTCATCAATATATTATAGGTCTCAGATATATACAAAACATGTCTCTGAAGTGTTTGGCTCCAAATACCAAACAGATCGTGCATTGTAGCATCCCATAATCCCCTCTGTTTCAGCCCTGTTTCAAAAGTGCTGATTCTCTGTCTGTTACTTTAGATGAAAATAAGGAGCCACTCCCCACGCCGCTCTGAGAGATATTTGGTTAAAAAGAACACAATGGTGCTCTAGGAGGAGATTCAGGTGATAAGGGTGTTACCTTGGTTGGTTATTGGCTAATGGTTACACAAGCCAAAACATCGTTATGACATCATAAAGTGACCAAAATCTGATCAGCTCATTTTCAGACAGGTTTTTATATAAATGGATCAGGACAAAAAGTGAGCAAATCTTTTTTCCTGAAACTTTCAGAATCTCTTTACACAGAGGGGACACATGTTGATGTAGAAGAGACATGAAGAAGAGGATTTTAAATAATAGGTGACCTTTAAGAACAGAAAGCAGAACAGTAATCCATTTTGCATATAGAAGTGGAGTCTACTTTGGTCTGACACTAGGCCATAGTTTTACGAAGTAGAAAACACATTTTGAGTTGTAAATCTGCCATCATTTATCAATGTTAACTGTATATTTGGAAACATGACGTGCGTAGCTTAGTTTAAGGCTTGTTCAACTTTTGGTGCTTTAGTGATAATGGTTCAAATATGAGTCTCGTGAGCTTCCATACGCCCTTCTCTTGGACTGAAAGACGTTGAGGCAGCTTTAACAAGTGGACTCATCTGGTCTTCAGGCTCTTTAATCTGCAGCTCACAGACCGAGAATGGACCTCTCTTTTGGCCTTTTGATCTTGAGTACAAATCTGTTCCTGCATCTGCAAGATTCATTCTTCCCATCTGAAATAGAAAGAGAAATGATGGTTATAGGTCTAGCATGTATATAGTAAGAGAGAGTAGAGGAAAAAAGGACAACAGCAGCAATTTCCAAACAGTTTACATTGGTTTACTTCAGAGTTATTCCATCCCAGAGTGACTGAGATTAGTGATCCTGCAGCAGCTTGTGGTTTGCACTGTAATACATATTCATTGTTATTTGATTATAATTGACAATTATCTTTCTGGATTGCATGGTGGCTTGAATCACCTGCTTTATGTTTTTGCTTAATTTCTTATCACTATTTTAGTAGGCCTTTTGGGCTTTTCGCCATCATTTTGATGCTTCGAAAAATATGTGTCGTCTGCCATGGTGGCTAATTGGTTGCGGATGAGGACCCTGTTATTAAATGTTCCACACTCATACATCCATCTCCGTAATACCAATGTCTGCAGACCAAAAAAGTTCCATGCAACTCAGTTTCATGTCATACTCATGAGGCTGGCGTTGGAATGTATTATGTGTCATCTCACAGCAATAAAGGAACACCGCAGGGATCGTCACACTGTCTTACAAAAGGAAATGTTCTTCCTCGGGAAGTATCAGCAGAATATTTTTCACAAAGCATAGAAGTTAATTAAAAAGTGTATGAATGTAAGTAGTACGTATGTGTGTGTCTTGTGTGTGTGTGTGTGTTTGCGTGCATGTGTCGCAACCTGCCAACTGGCCTTCACAGCATTGATTGTGCTTTTTTAATTATGCTTGGGTCGACAGGATGTTTTTCAGAATGAAGGAAGAGAACCCCCATCTACAAAAACCCTGTATTTGTGTCGCCGGTTCTCAGTGTTCCCTTTAGTTCTCTTTGAACTGCTCTCAGGTTCATAACATCTGTGTTCTGGAAGTATTTTTTTGTTGGTCTGATGCAATGTTTGACCTCAGGCGTGATGTAGTCTTTGTTATTGGGATGTATCCAAATAGTCTTTTTGTCGCACTACAATACACAAACATGAATAAATCCTGAGATTGCCTTGGAAATACCGTCAATATTGTTGTGTTGTTGCAAAAGAGATAAACATTAAGCTCTTTCTTTTTGTATTCTGCTTAACACTCTTCTAGCATATCGGTGAAACTCTTTCTTATGAACAAGATAAGAGCCAAAAAGACAATTCATTTACTCAAAAAACTTTTTTAATTGATACTATAATGTTTATTATAACTGCATTGGATGCAACCGGTTGGTATTTTACAGAGTATCAAAGCGCTCAGAGGAACAGGCAGCATAAAGGTTCGAGATACTTGTGTTGACCTTTATCAAACCCAGTGTTTCTCCTCTTTTGGTTGGTAATGTTTTTGCAACAGTTCACTTTTACTCTACCAAGGCTGGTGGAGCCAACACATTTGACACATCTGTGCTCATACTGAAAATGTATTCAGTGTTCTCACCAAAATGAGTATAATTTCCTCATAAACTAATTGCAAAGCTGTTATTTTTTAAAGCGTTTGTGGTTCACATTCATGTTTGCTTGCTAACAGTCTTCTTTTTTGGCCCCTGTTGATTAGTAGAATGGTCTGAAACCATTGGCAGGAGGTTTTATCGCGGTATCCTCCTGCCTGCGTTTGTATATGAGATCAAACAAAACAGGGGCTCACTGACATTGTTCAAAAGAGCCGCGAGTGGTCAAAACCCTCACAGGGTACCTTCTAAAATGTCATCTATATCCTTAAAATGAAACTGCCATCCTAAATACAACATTCACTAAACGTCAAATTAGTTAGTAGAAAATGTAGACACAAAACAAAACAAAAAGCAGCAACTGTATGTTTAATGAAGATGAACAAAATATCTGGCAGGTTGACGCATTTGAGAATATTGAGGTTGAAAATACCATTACACTCACTACATTTCCTGTATCAAACCACTGAACACATTGATTTATGGGTCTTCTTACTTTTCTGTCAAATTAACCCTGGCCAAAGACCGGTGACCTATGAGCAACATTGGACATGCTAAGCAAATCAAGTGCTGCTGTAAAAAGACAAAATAAATAATTAAAATGCAAAGTAAGCTGTAGAGTTCCTTTCAAGTAGCCTATTTCTTTCCTAATTACAGTTTGAATCATCACTCTAGAAGGAGCTTTTGTTTCCTCCGTCTCTGACAAAGTAATTAACTGACCTTTGAGCATCCTATCTGCTTTCTTTCCCTGCCTTTGACAGCTCTCTTGTAATATTAAAACTCCATGTGGCTGTAGTTCTTTATCCCTAACACATTCTCAAGAGACACACTGCACGGGAATATAGAAGGAATTATTATATTCCCTTTTTCTCCTTTAGTCGGCCCTTTGATATTATGTGGCTCCGGCTCTAAAATCACCCTTGTTTGTGACTCATATAAATGAGTGACCCTGAAATCTTATGCTAACTATACTGGGCTTTATCTGGACATTGGGAAATAAGGTAGGTGCATAGCCACACAAATTCTTTAAAATACAGCATCAAGTCGTACAAGATATATTGATGGCCTTTTTTTTCTTTTCGTTAAGGTCGGGACAATAGTTACATATAGACTTTCTCCAGTACCTCAACACAACTAAGCCTCAAACTTTTTTGACATGAATGAATAGAGCCTCTCTTCTCTGGGTCATTCTCAGTGTTGTTGAGGTTTGTATCATGGCTTGCACAAAATCTAAAGAAACAAACATCCAAAGATCAACAAGAATTGTAATTCGCATCAAAACAGAAATAAATAAAACAAGCCTAAATGGAGAAATAACAACCTTTCCTGGATTTGAATCTATAATAGCAGATGTCGAGATTGTAAGCCAAATTCAAAGAAAGACCAGAGATTTGTTTGTTTATCACCAAATTGCGCTGTAATCCGCTTTATGTCCTGCCTCCTGCAAGCTTTTACCCAGGCACCAGTCTTTGCTTAAACCCAACAGTCAACAGAAAACACTTTTGGTAATCCCCTGTATATTGGCAAACTCTGAAAAATGTCCAGATGGGCAATTATGTGCTGTACTATTTTTAGACAGTCACTTTCAGGATTCTCCACTGGCATTTCATTGTAGCAATTTAACAAGATTAAGTGTGTTAATTGAGAAGCTTTATGTTCAGGCTACACAACTCTAATGTCTGTTACAGTGATACATTTTTGACATGACTAGGTCAGGTGGGTTTTGACACTATTCATTAGCGACATGGTCACCAAAGTTAATATCCAACCCTTAATATCACAAGCAACAGATCTTTGAACACAGTACACAAATGTAATGTTGGCATTAGTTAGACTAGCTAAAAAAAATGTTTAACGCTCAATATCTTTGTGAGCTGTGTAAACATATGAAGCTTAGTGCAAGTTCAAGCAGGAAGACCAAGCTCTTCATTCATATTACACGTCACTTCTCTACCCTCTCCTCCCTCATTAAGTGATCGGGGGCGTCACTCCCCAGCTAACCAATCACTCCTCTCTCCATTCTCACAAGCCTATCGTTGCACCCGCTAATCCCTTTATATCTGCTCTTCCCTCTTGTCAGCTGTCATTCCAGGTGACAATACGCAACCCTCCTCCACCCCTCTCGCCTCCCGTCTGCTACAGGACCAAGCTAATCCTTCTCCCTTCAGACCGGTCCCACCTACTTATCACCACCACCAGTGTCTAGACCCCGGGGGGTTTCTTCGGAGCGGTTCTTCCCCTCCTGAATGATAATCCTGCAAACTGGGGCCTAATCGCCAAACATCATTCCATTCTCCTGTCTCAATTCTGGCAATCATTATTTCATTCATATGACGTGTCCCAGTAATAAATATGTATTTCATACATCAATGTCTCTCCTGATTGAACTAATGTTAGCAAAATAAAATTGAACTGCATAAGACAACACACACACTAAGGAGGCAGGAAGTGTATACCACTTCATACGATTGTGCTGCCTGTGATCTCTTAAATTAGAGAGCATCTTTTGTCATAGTCAAGGACGTGAGGGAACACCTTGTGTAGTCCAAAAAATCAATATTACTGTGGTGTACCAGATGCAGCGTAGAGTGTTGTCTACTATGACAGAACACAAGATCAATTGTCATGTCTGAAGCCCATACTTCCCCGATCCAGGCCATCACCCTATATTGCAACCAGTCTCACGGCATTTCGTGTTATAGACACGAAATGAATTGAATCTATTGATTCGTGTTCACCAACACGATTTTCCCATTTTTTTCGTGTCACACAGAACGATTTTCTATTGGTAGTATGTTTCGTGCCTGCACCACGTCTTTTTGTCCGGTCGTGTCTTGGAAGACCGGAAGCTGTGTGGTTCATAAAAACATTTTCTTACTCAATATCAAGCCATGATTATTGTTTTTATTTTAAATTGTATAATGTCGGACTTCTTTTGCCATCCGTGAGGAAAAGAAATGGGCCTCAGAATACTGAAATCTGTATTTTTTAAATCTTTTTTTCCTTCTAATTTGTTATTATTGGGTCCAGGCACGAAACATACTACCAATACATTGCAATACATTGCTTTTAAAATCGTTCTGTGTGACACGAAAAAAATGGGAAAATCGTGTTGGTGAACACGAATCAATACTGTAGATCACATTTCGTGACTATAACATGAAATGCCGTGAGACTGGGTTGCATATATGAATCTTGGCTGAAATCGTATAGTCTGAACAAGGCATTAAGGTGCTGTGAGGCGGCTTTTGTTCCATGCAGACAGATCAACACTAGCTGTGGCCATTCTTTACAATGAGCTAACCTAACCAGCTGCTGGCTGTAGCTCCAGATTCAATTAACAAACATGAGATTGATTCCCCTATCAATCTTTCATCTAAACTTGGCAAGAATGTTGTAAGTGTATTTCCCAGAATGTGAAACGAGTGCAGAGATTTGGGATTTTAATGTTTGCTCTGCACAGTTCAAGCAGAATTGTTGGTTGGAATTGCAGAACTTCAAAACAGCATGTTAATTACACTTCAGCTTTAATTTAATTTGCATGGGTGGAAATGTATCATTATGATTATC